AGCTTAGTCAGACTCCCTTCCCCTGCTAATTATGTTCATAGAACTCTTTATGTCCTTATTGTGCTTGTTATGACTATGATGTATTGATTAATTGTGTATACGTTTGTTTAATGACTGCCTTCCTTGCCAGACTGTAAACTCATGTGTGTTTAATGCCATATCCCTAGTATCTGACAGAGTGACTGGCACATAATAGATGCCTAGTAAATAGCTGTAGAATGAAACTATGAATGAATGAATGAATGAATGAATATTTAAAAAAGGAAATGAAACTATGAATGAATGAATGAATGAATGAATATTTAAAAAAGGAAATGTCAGGACTATATGCTGGGAGCATTTGGATTTTTAAAACATGCATCAGATGTTAAATTACTAGTCAGATCTCAAAATGTCATCTTGGTGAAGCATAGTTTGCCCTGTCATTTCTCTGTTGACAGAATCTTTCATGAATAAATTCTTCATGATTTGAAGATGCCTCAGTGGTTGCCAAAACATAAATAACAATCGCAACAAAGGCAGCTTATATTTTCTGATTGCTTATTCTCTACTAAGCTTTGTTCTGTATACTTTCCATGTATTATCTCATCTAATTCTCATAATAACTCTGAAAGGTAGATGCTATTTTTTGCTTGTTTTCAGTTTCTATTTCCAGATGAGAAGATCAAAACTCAGAGAGTTTAATATAGCTTGCTTAAGGTCGCTCAGCCAGTAAGCGGTGGCCCAGAAGTGGAGGGCAGTCAAGGTGGGGCTCAGCCTCACAGGCCTGAGGCAGAGTGCCACCCCCACCCTTGTGACCTTTCTCTCCTTGACTGGAGTAGCTCTCTTTTTATCTGTTTCATAAATGAGGCCCCTGCCTTGGTTTCATTTGAAGCCAAAGTTTTGTGGCTAAAGAAGAATTTGAAAGCTCCAGGCCTGCAGCACAGATTGACCCTGATGCACCCTTTTAAGCCTCAGACCCTCCTGCCGTTATATTTCTCACTGTGCTTCTGCCTGAAATGCCCTCTCCATTCTTCTGCAGCTGACAAGTTACGCTGCATCCCTTAGATATTGTCTAGCTCTCACGGTGGGTGTATTGTACTTTCCACATGCGCCTTTCACAGGCTTGTCTCTCTGTCCTAGCAGCAGTCGTATTCTTTCTAAGTAGTGGTTGACAAGTTTGTCTCCACCACTGGACTGAGCCTCTAGAAAAGTTGGACCACGACTGCCTCCTCTCTGGAGCTCCTTGGCCTGGCCTCGAATCTGGCATGGGACACAGGGGCCTCAGCCAGTGCTTGATGTACAAACAAATGCATGCCAAGTGCAGAGCGGGTGCTCAAAACCAACTGGCTGAGTCCAGAAGCCTGGAATACAAAGTGGCGTGTACTCAGAACCCCATGAATGAGAGAGAGAGATGATCGGATGTATTAATCACTGGTTTGGAAAGGAATTAAAATATTTCCATAGTATACTATGTTTCTTTTCTAAAACAGATGTGCCTATGTTTCATGAGAAAGTAATTAAGAGTGTTTGATTAAAAGATTCGTAAACACTATCATTTATTCATGGCTACTCTATGCTGCTGTCTTTATTGGCACCTTACAGATGTTCTGTCTGCTTCTCCAAATCACCCTGTGAGGTGTTTTTATTATCTTCATTTTAGAGAAGAGAAAACTGAGGCTCAGAGAGAATTAAGTAACTTGCCCAAGGACAGTCAGCTCCTGAGTAATAGATACGGGAATGAGTCAGGGCTGTCTGACTTCAAAACCAGTCCCTTGCCATCACCCTAACTGCTTCTGAGCTTGGATTTTAGATACCTTTCAGCTCAACACCCCAGACTCCGCCCTTCCTGTGCCAGGCATCCCCTCCCCTTCCTCCCTTCTCTGTTCCCCACAACCCCCCACCCCCACACTGTATTCCCTTCTCCATTTCCTTAGATTATTGCCTCTGTCTTTGCATCCTGAAACTGAAATATTTTTGTCAATGTCAATAATTGGATACTATTATGTATGGAAACTATCTGGTATTAATAGTGTAGTAACATCACATTTACATTAATAAATACAAAATATACTTTATTAAGGCCAATTTATATATAGTGATTTTTTCTTTATAAAGCCTTTTACTCTTAGGATTTTTTGAGCCCTGATTTGTATTTTTTTCAATCTATGGCTTTTTCTTCATGTAAAATATAAATAAAACATTGTGAAAAGGAAGTTGATTAGATAAAAATTTTTTATTAATGATTATCTAAACAGTAGGATACCTATTTCAAATTATATATGAAATGTAAGATTTCATTATATATGAAATACTTCTTGTTAGAGAAGTTTAAGAGGTTTCTTACAGACTTAGATGCATTTATTTTCTGCCCCTCCGTATTTCAGCTTTTTTTTTTTTTTTTAATCATTGGATCAAATTTTAATTTTCCTGTTCCTTCCTTATACTGACATATGCTTTGGCAGAACAAAAAAGAGACCTAAACATGTCAGCGTGATTTTCGTTCAATGAATTAAAAACCATAAAAGTAACAAGATCTGATCCAAATCCCTAAACTCCTGACATGGTGGTTTTGTCCTTTTCAGTCCCAAGATTCAAATTACTGACTTTGAAAAGCTTTCTGCCTGGAAGCAGAAGTAATGGCAGCAGTGCATAATTTATCTGAAATAGATTACAAGGGGTAGGCAGCACTGAGTAGTGGAAAGAATACAGGCCAGAAAGCTCTGGATTCGAATCCCAGTTCTCCCACTCAAGCCCATGGGCAAGTTGTGTAACATCTGTGCACCTCAGTTTCCCCATGGCAGAATGGAGGTATGAGAATCTAGTTTGATGACCTGTCATGAGGATCGGAAAGATAATATACTTAAAGTACTCACCTGGCATAGAGGGGCTTAATAATGGCAATAATCAGTATCAATTAGCTGAATCTAGGAGAACTTATTTATAACACAGCTGTCCACTTTGTTTTCAGAGCTTATCCTCTCAGAAATATAAAAATTTTTTCTCATCCAATCAGGGAAAAGAATATCAGGTAGATGCCACTAAATCTTTAACAGCTGCTCGCCACTGTTTCACTTGGAACGTCTACCCAGACATTGGGGTTGTCCTTGCTAAGCAAGAACCCCATTGGTTGAATGTCAGGAACCATATGCCAAGGGTGTCCATGTCGGGACCCCAGGAGCAGAGGAATTTTGTTAGACTGAGACCATTGGCTTCTGAAACAGGCCAGTCTAGGTTTGACTTCATGTAAGATACCAAACTTCTTTGGGCCTCATTTCTCAACCTGGAAAATGGAGTTTATGATCTTACAAGACCCTCCATGACATGGCTTTCCAGCATCTTTTCTTGCTGCTCTCTTCATTATCTGCGCTCCAGTCAATTTTTCAATTGAAACATGGTCTCTTTGCAGCTCAAAGCCTTTTTACATGCTCTTTTTCCCTCCTGGAAGTCTTTCCTTGCCATGCCAGGACTGGCAACTTGCATTCATTCTTCAGATCCTAGTGTGATGTGTTAGTCAGGATAGGATGGGCTGTGCTGTAGTAACAAACAATCCCCAAATCTCCATGGCTTATAACAACAGAAATTTATTCCTTACTCATGCTGCATGACGAGTGCTGTTTATCATAGTCACTCTGGGATCTCAGCTGATGGACGCTCCATTTATTCTGTGGCCAATGGAAACAGATGTATGGCACACACTGGCTCTTAAAGCTTTGCCCTAGAGTGACACCTGTCATTTCTGCTCACATTTCGTTGTCCAAAGCAAGTCGTACAGCCACACAGAACTTTACAGAAGATGGGGAAATGCATTTCTATGGGAAGAAATAAGAACCAGAATACTAGTGAGCAGACCTAATGACTGCCACATTTAGGTGTTCTTTCTCTGAGAAGGTCTTTCCTTACGGCCCCTACCCAAACTCGGGCAGCTCCTGATGAGTTAGCCGAGCTGCTTTCGTGTTCTTATGATACCTTCTGCTTCCCCACTTCCCTTACCACAGCACTTCTCATGCTCTGCTGTAAATTTCTCTTCTCTCCCTCCCTAATTAAGCCCCTTAAGAGCAGCACAAAGGTCTGTCATGTTTACCATAGCGCCCTCGTGCCAAACACCAATTTTGACAGGTTGTAGGCACTCAGTGTGCACATGATGAAAAAATGAAGGCAGGACAAACACGGGCTACTCAGCTGGGTTGTCGTGATGATTAAATGTAAAACAGGAATAACAATAACTGCCTCATACAGTTGTCGTAAGGATCGGCATGTAAAGTGCCTCTCCTTGTGGTTTATAGTAGGCCCTCAGTGTGCTCGCTGTTATTACTATTACGATGTTAATAGTAAATATCACTGACACTCATCAAGCATTTATAACATGCCAGACACTCTCATGGATACTTACTGGAAGGTAACTGGTACTGTGGTTTTCACATGTTATGTTGGGGCTGTAATAATAGTTAAGATTCTGAAGGTTGCTACTTGTTTGGGGCGATTAAGAGATAGCTATTGCATCATCACTCATATGCATTGCTTTCTTCAGTGGGAGAGAAGGGGCTGGCATCCTAGCTAATTATCACTTCCTTTTATTGAGCACTAAAATGTGCCAGGGTCTGAGCTAAATGACTTGCATGCATCATGTCATGTGATCTTCACACCACCGCCTGAGACAGGTACCAACAACCCCTGTTGTAAAGATGAGAACTCTGGGGAGAGCAGATTAGTTCTGCTTGCCCTAAGCGGCATGGCCAGGAATTGACCCCAGGTCCGCCTAGACTTCCCGGCTCATGCTTTTAAGCAGTGCCCTTACTGGCTCTCCTCAGCCACCTCGCCAGGAACTTTACTTGGCCCTGAGCTCACCCAGGGGCATGTGTTAGGGATGCAAACATCACCCCCTGACAGAGAGTAAGGTTACAAAACACTGAGCTAGTGGACAGTGTGATGCTAAATCCTTGGCTAGCAGTTAATGTAAAGAACAATTTTGTTGAACGTTCTTTCGTTTTGTTTGTTTGTTTGTTTGTTTGTTTTATCAGAGTAACCAGGGAGCACAGGGAAATGCTGGTGAAACTGGCCAAACAGAACACCAACAAAGCCAAAGACTCTTTACGGAAGGTCCGTACCAGCGCAATGAATAAGCTGAAGAAGTCAAAGGACAAGGCCTCGGAGGACACCATTCGGCTCATAGAAAAACAGGTACTGTCCCCAACAGATGTAGCATTCACGTATCTCACCCGGGGATTCACTCATTCATGTCTGAAGGGAGGAAAATAAAAACACAGTACCCCTGGTCAGCATTTCATTGACTGGGTCTGTCCTGGGCCTCACCCTGGTCTGGACCCTGGGCACGTGGAGGAGGTATGTGGCAGGTCTCTGTGCCGAGCATCACTTCATTTGTCCTTGTCACTGCAAGCCGTGCAGTGTACATAGATCGGAAACTAAGGGTCATAGAAGCTAAATAACTTGCCCAAAGTCACACTGCTTGTAAATGGTAGAAGTGGGATCCACACACAGGCAGAGTGATCAGAGCCTATATGCTAACGCTCTCCTGTCTGTGGCTGGTTGTCTGGGTGCTGAGAGGTGAGGACGTAACAGCGCTCTTAATGTGCTGGGTAGTGGCACCTAAACAAGTCTTAAAGGAGCTGCCGGTGAGACGAAGGGGAAAGGCAGAGCAGCACGTACGGAGGTATGGTGACGGAGAGAACGTTACAATTAGATAATCGTGCACCTAGGCGGAGACTGCGGAATGGATGGAGAAGAGAGAGTGGCCAGCCAGGTTCATCGAAGGTCTTGTATACCAGGTCGAGGAGTTTGGTCTTTAACAGGTCCAGAGAGTCCCATGTTGGCTATGCATCTTTATCAGCCAGGTTCATCGAAGGTCTTGTATAGCAGGTTGAGGAGTTTGGACTTTAACAGGTCCAGAGAGTCCCATGTTGGCTATGCATCTTTATCAGTCAGCTTTGGCCACAATAATGCTACATAACAAATAACCTCAAAATTCAGCAATTTACAATATCAAGCATTATTTCTTATTCTCATATCTGTGGGTCAGCTGGGATATATCTGTTCTGTGTTGGTCTCAGTGGGCTTGGCTCCATATCTTTGGTTGGGTTTAAGTCTGCTTTATATCGTTCTACTTACTACCATTAAATTGTTTTTTTCAAAATGAAAAAAATCTTCTAGAGTCAACAAGCTTCCCAGGGCATCTTTTCATGGCAACAGTAGACACCAAGAGCGTAACCCCAACCACTCAAGTACATTTTAAGCACTTGTTCCTGTCACATCCCATTGGCCAAGCAAATCACATGGGCCAAACCAGTCATCACTTAGGCAGGGAAGTATTTATATTCATGCAGGTCTGGGGGAGGGAGTGAATATTTATGGAACAACAATCTAATCTGCCACAGCATTATAACCACTTGAGGAGCTTATTAAAATGCAAGTATCTGAGGCCCCACTCCCAGAGATTGAGTCGGTGAGTCTGAAGTGGGGCCTAGGGATCTGCATTTTTAGAGTAAGTATGTCGAAAGATTTTTTCCCAGACAGTGAAGAGATCACATCTGTGTTTATGAAAAATGACAATGTGGCTGGGTAGAAAACATATTAGGGGTCTAAACTGGAGGCAGGGAGGCCAGGGAGGCTGTTTTAGAAATCTGGCTAGGAAATGATGATGCCCCAGACCTCAAAGGTACAAGTAGAATTGAGATAGGGAGATGAATTTACCAGTATTGAGGAGATAGAATTTATATCGTTTAGTGTACTATAAATATAAAAGGCTTAGCCAAAGCCACCTTGTCCACAATAAAAGCAGTATTTTAGGAAGATTGCACAGGAGCATGAGCAGGATGGGGAGTAAAGAGGTAAGAAGCAGAAGGCGAGGACAGCCATTAGGGGAGGACAGCCATTAGGGGCACACCTGAGGAGGCCATAAATTGACTAACCGCTCCCCTTCTCCTGGACTGGCAGGTAGAATGTTAATCATAGGCCAGGACAAAAAATCACCCAGGGGAGAATTTTAGATGGATTCCTGGGCTCCCCTCCTGCGTACTCTGATTCAGTAGGTCTGCCCAGGAATGTATGTTTTTAAAAAGTTGCATAGATAATTCTGCAAAAGCAGACACGGAAAGTAAAAGCCTTCCGGTGTGCCCCTAGAAGGGCACCAGTTAGGAAGGGGCTGTTCCGCACTTGATGTCCTGTGTCCTTGGGGAGGTTACTTGACTCCTCCCAAGTCTGTTTCTCCCTTGAAGGGTCGCCCTGGGGCTGCCAGCAGCACCATTAGAGTGTCTGCCATCTAGACCCTCAGAGCTCCCTTCTCGCCATCTTTGTGCTCTCTTCTCTTCCTGCATCAGCTAAAAGGGGTTCAGAGAGTAGGCTGGCCTTTTCTGAGCCCTGATCAGGCCTCGGAAGAGTCCAGACCTAGGCCCCAGCTGTGCCAGCTCCTTGTCCATCTCCCAGGGGTTCCATCTCTGTAGCTGACCTCGGCCTCTTCACTGCTTCCTGGTGTAAGGCTGTGGAAGAGCTGCCAGGCACTGCTCACTCAGCAAGTCTGGGCATCTGCCTCAGGGACCAGAGCCCACACTCCTTGAAAAAGGAAGAATGATCAGATAACCAGTTCTCTTGATAAAATTCGCTTGACAAAGACTGTGCTGGAAGCCTTCACTCAGTAGCTTCTTATTCACTGCTTATTACTATTAAATTATTTTTTTTCAAAATGAAAATAACTGTATTCTTTTTTTTCTGATATGAAACTGATCTGTGTTTAGTATAAATTTTTTTTAATTAAGAAGTAACTGAAATTTCATTACCCAGAGATGCCATCATTAACATTCATGTTATCTCTGTAAGCATATGTATAGTATTATAAGAAAAAAGACCATATGCTATATAGTTCATGATACATCCAGTGCAACAGTCTTTGTTATTTAAGATATTATCATTTAAATATTAGTTACCATGATTGATAATAACTTAATTTACTGTCATGGTTTAAAGTTTGAGTAAGAAAATATTCAGGAGACAGCCTTGTGCACACTTTATTTTGTTCTTTTTTCTGACGCAAGGCACGGATCTGGAGTTTTTAGTGTGTGTTTTGTTTAAATAAATAAGGCAGGAATTGATTGTTGCTTTATTAAGCAGTTTTTAAAAATTTATGTGATTACTTTGTTCCTGATTATCAAAGTATCATATGCCCATTGTAGAAAATGTAGAGTTCAGAAGACTGTTTTTAAAAATGAGGGAAAATTCACCATAATCCCACATGCAGAAGCAACTGCCCTTAACATTTTTGGGATATTTATTCTTTCCCCCCTTAAAAAAAAAAACTGCATGGTTTTTAACATGATCTAAGAACATGTACGTACAATTTTGTATCCAGCTTTTTATTTTCTGTTCAGCATTAAAACCATTAGCATTTTCGTGTGTCTTAAAAAATTCTTTGTAAACAGTCATTTCCAACAGTTGTAAAATAGTCCGTCTTGTGGTTATACCATAGTTCACTTTCATAAATCCTCTCATTGGATATTTAGTTTGTTTAAAGTTTTTTGTTATTATAAGTAAGGTTGCAGTGAATATTTTTATACACACGTCTTTGTTGAGATGATTTCCTTAGGATGCAGTCCCGAGTGCGGAATTATAGCACAAAGGGAACACATATTTTTTAGGTTCTTGGAACGAACTGTCTAAATTACTCCCAGAGTCTTTAGAATATGTATGTTTTTAAATTTTTTTTTTTTTGCCTTTTCTAATCCCTGATATTTGAACATAGAATTTTTAATGTGAGCTTAAAATCTTGCTTATGTTAGAAATATTGCTTTTACTTCCATGCTCCACAAGAAAGATTAAGCTATTCTTTATATAAATCCATACAGTTTCTCTAGAGGATAGTATGGCTGTGTATACCAAAGTCCATACATTTCTGATTCAGTGAATTGGGAATTTATCCAAAATAAATCGTCAAGAATCTTATCTGCAGAGTATCTGTTGATGTATTATGTATAATAGTAGAAAACTGGAAACTGTCTAAATTTCTGACAGTGAGAAAATAAGTTCTTTTATATCCGTTTACTGGAATCTATATGTATAGACAGTTATAACAGTATTTCACAGACATGGGAAATTTTTTATGGAATTTATATTTTAAAGGTAGATTACATAATAGTATTATAATATTTCATTTTTCTAGAGAAGAATGCCATGTACATAAAAAGGTTGGCAGCTTATCCACGTCGAAATGTTCATGGTGGTCATTTAAGGTAATGGGATTATGAACAATTTAAATTTGTGAGATTTTCTTAATGAAAAAAATTTTTTCCTAAAGTCTTTTGGGAGGTCAGATTTTTTTAAAACTATTATAAAAATGTTTCATTTTTGGTGTATAAGAAGGAAGAGATTCTGTTGTAGGTTCTAGCAACACATCCAACCCCCAAACCCTCTTCCTCCCAACTTCCCAAATGCCTGCCCAGGCCAGCTCTTCTGAAGAAGGACCAGGGTCTCCCCACTTAGGACTCTGACATCTGTCAGCCTGCTGTTTCACCTTCGCTTTAGTTTGCTAAATGAGCCTG